AAGAACAAAACACCTACGGTTAAATGGAGTTTGGTTAAGAAAGCTCGTACATGTAACTCCCTATATACCCCATGTTACCTATGCCTTAATGAAAAATTTGAAATTATTAGATTTAAAAACAAGGCTGATCTCTTAAATCAAAGATATGAACTGACAGTAAATTGTAAACACCGTTATAAATTTAACTTAGTGTAGGGGTCGTATACTTTAAATGATAATGATATGTCGCTGTATTTTTAATAGATTAGTATTTTTATTGCATAATGGTCATACTTACGATATAAGTGTGTATTGTTTACCTGCATAGTGTTATCAGTGTTGGTGTAAATATATATATATTTATTTATGTGTTGGTTAGAGTATTTGCACTGAGGAATGTGTAGGTTGGTGTATAAATGTATTTATGGTTTTTTTTTTTTTTTTTTTTTTTTGTTATATATAGGGTGTATGTGTGGGGTATGTATGTATGTATATATATGTGAGTGTGTGTGTATATATATATATATATATATATATGGGAAGGTATGGTAGATTATGAGAGAAAAGGTTAATAATTATTACTGTATATGTGTATGTGTGTGTGCCTATATATGTATGTGTATATGGGTGTGTGTATATATGTATGTATTTGTGTGTATGTGTGTATATGTATGTATGTATGTATGTATGTATGTATGTATATATATATATATATATATGTTTGTATATATATATATATATATATATATATATGTGTGTGTGTGTATATGGTTGATATATATATATATATATATGTATATGCATATATATATATATGTGTGTATATGTATGTATGTGTGTATGTGTATGTGTATGAGTATGTACAGGTATGTATATGATTAAATCACGGCAGTATAATGGTTGGCCAGCATGGTTCACTAGATTGGGTGCGACTGAGTAATGAGTTCGTTCCTCACTGGATGCCCCTTGATTTCAGCTTTGTGCCACGATATATTTGTATATATATATGTGTGTGTGTGTGTATGTATGTGTGTATATATATATGTGTGTGTATATATATATATATATATATATATATCTATATGTCCTATTTTATTGTGTATGTGTATTTATATTTAAGTATAATTCTGTTTGTATGAATGTGTTTATATATTTGTATGTTAGACTATATGTATATTGCTGTGTGTTGGTGTTTGAAGGTATATTTATGTATCTATATGTTAGTTCGTTTATATATGTATTTGGTTGAAAGTTGTTGTATTTTTATGTATGCATGTATATATGGGTAGTTGTTATTGCAGGTAGATATATTTATATATATATATATGTTTATTTGTAGATATGTATGTATGTGTGTATATATATTTATGTATGTTTGTGTATGTATATATATAGGTGTGTGTGTTGGAACCTATTATGTATGAGTTTGTGTGTGTGTATGTAGGTATGGAAACTTTGGTATATCATGACTGTTTTTTATATATCTAAGTATGTGTGCATAAAAGTCTATGTGTATATATGTGTGTGTATTTAGGTTTATATGTATATGTACGTACATATGTACTTGTTATCATAGATATGTATATGTACGTATATGTTTATGTTTATATATTTATTTGTGTGTATTTCTGTACGTATATGTATGTATGAATATATATTTTTTTTTTTTTTTTTTTTATAATTTGTTTTTGCTGCCGTGTATATATATATATATATATATATATATATATATTTATATGGGATTTCTTTATCCTGTTTTTTTCTTTTGCAAAATATATAATGAAACTATTATCAACTTATATGATTAATAATATATATATTTTTTATTGATATTTATTGTTTTAGAATTTTCGTTTTAATATATTAAATAATATTTTTTTAAACATTTTTATCTTTATATATTTGCTCCCTTAAGTTATAATTCAATAAGTGGTTAGCATTTATTTAAGTCTGAAATATTTATTGGTTGTGATTTCTCAATGTCTATGCCATTGTCTGGATGTATGTTTGTGTATATATCGGTGTCTATGTGTATGTAGAGTGTATTCACATTTAACTGTGTGTGTGTATAAGTGTTAGTTTCCACGTCTCCTTTTTTCATAAAGGGCTGTGGAGTTGTTCATGTATTCCCCCACCTTTTTCCTTTTTTTTTTTTTTTTTTTTTTGTGTGTGTGTATATTTGTGTGTGTGTGTGTGTGTGTGTGTGTGTATATCTAATTATGTCTAGATGCTTATGTATTATAATCTGATTGTGTTTTTGTTGTGTTGCGCGTGAGTTTAAGACCATATTCACAAACTTTAAAATAAAAACGGAAAAGAAAAAAAAAATATATACATGTATTACAAATGACCGGATAATTGTAGCGTTTTTGTCAACGTAATTTCAATGAAGAAATGAATTGAATAAACATATATATTTTTTTTCTTTTCTCAATAATTTTGTAGTTTTTAAACTTAATAGTGATTAAATTTGGATTTTAAAATTGCCAGTTTTTAATTTTAATATTAAATTTTATCATATAAATTTATAATTATTAGTTAGTAAAATTATTTTTAATATTACACGTATTTAAAGATCTGAATAGCTATTATAATATGATTTCGTTGTCAAGCTTTTGAATCTTTCTATACTTCGTTTTTGATTGGTTATTCTAGCTTTTGTAACAATGTTTCCCCCCCTAGTGTAGGATCGTTAATTAATCTGAAACTTTTAAAACCATTTATTTTCTTTTCAACATCATCACTTGATAAGACACAGATTGTGTTGAAACAAAATGGCTATTTTTGTAGTGATTTTATAACATACTTATGTTATAAATTTTTTTTATAAAAATAATTATATATATATATATATATATATATATTTTTAAGGATAGTAATTGTTGGTTATGCAATCTTTTTATTAAAAGGTGGCCTTATTTCCATATATATATATATATAATATATAAATATATATTATATTCAAAATATATATATAGTGATCTTATCTGATAGAAAAAAATATCACTTTACCAGTGCATAAAAATAATATAAGTAGATAATTTTTTATAAACGACAAAATGAGTCTGGTTGAAAACGGTATATGAAATTTTTATTATATTTAACTAATAAAATTGTTTAACAGTGGAGACCATCAGTAAAGTTACTGGATCTTTGCAATTAATGAAAGGTTGTGACAAGAGGTCACTGAATGAATGATTTTGTTCCGAATATTTTGAAAATAGAAAACCAAAATGGCTAAGGCGGAAACAATTCATCAGAAAGAAAAATATATGGAAAATGTCTTTTTATAACGAAAGGTATATGCGTACACAAATAGGAAAAAAGGTACTCACTGTGAGGTTTGATATATGTGAGGGTAATGTTTTATTTTTAAGGTACTGGTTTATAATGGTTAGAAGGTTCAAATATATGTATGAACAGATTATCAATTTTTATTGAGGAGAATTCAGAGTTGTTCGCATCAAGACGAGGAAATTAGTCTTGGAAAGGTGCGAGGGCGACCGTGTTGTTTCACACTCTGGTAGTGAATAGTGGAAAGTTCGAAAAGTTGTTCGCATCAAGACGAGAAGTTGGTCTTGAAAAATATATTGACGACGGTGTCGTGGAACTGAAACATTTTCTAGTTGAAAACGGAGAAAGGTTCAACATGCTGTTTGTTTCAAGACGAGAATGAGTTTTGGAAAATATATATATCGACATGTTGAAGTTTTGGTTAGTTAAGAATAAGATATTTCGGCCCGCGTATGGACAGGGGCACGGAATAAATGAGTCAACCATCTAGTTTGAAAATCGGGCGGCGACTAACTTGAAAACGCTGTTCGTCGGTGACGTCAGGAAACGTGGGAAAAAAAATATTCAAAATCTGATCCTAGACGGTATCAGGAGGTAGCTAGTATTTTGTTCCTCACGTCAGCCAAAAAAGAGGCTGTTTTACTGCTATGTCTAGCTGAACATGAGAGGGAGGGTGCAATCAGGAAAAGCATATGGCACAATAACAATATTTGCAAAAGGGGTGGAATTCACGATTCCACACACAAAGACACACACACACACACATTTACACACATATATATATATATATATATATATATATATATATATATAAAAGTCATCCAAGACAGACTGTTTTGCTGTTCACAGCTTTCAGTGTGGCTTTTTCGACTGCTTTCAACTCGGGATCGAAAACTCAACCGATTTGGCATCAGTCAGAGATCCTACCCTTCCGCTGAGAGAAAGGCAATATATTTAATGGTTGGCTACTCGTTTCTTGCAATGCTGAGCGGAACTTTACTTACAGTTTCTAGGTTAGAGCGCATGATCAATTCTTTTGAATAAGGCCAGCACGCTCAAATCCTCAGTCACGACGACTTGTGACTTCGTGCTAGTATCGACGGCTTTCGAATTTCCCTCACAACGCTTGGGTTGAACCGTGATATGGTTTCTTTTTTTTCTTTTGTACATGAAAATTTGTTCCATCCTGTGAGCTTTTTTTTTCGTCGTATTCTTGTGTTGTTTCCATGTCAATAAGATACATGTCCTTATTCGCCCCACACAGACACACACACATACACAAAATACAGAGACAAGAAAAGAGATTATGTTAAAAATAAATATTTTTCATTGGGTAAGAATTTAATTGCCGTCTACAAATGATGACATTTTTAGAAATAACTTTACAAAGACGATTAAATAAGAACCACAGTGAAAGATGGATATATTGATTTACAGAGAAGGAGCAAGAGAGGCAACGTGAGAGAAGGTGAGAGAGTGAGTGTGAGAGGTAGAAGAGAGTAAGATTAGACCGAGTGGTAAAGGGAGAGAGAGAGAGAGAGAGAGAGAGAGAGAGAGACAGACAGACAGACAGACAGACAGAAAGATGGAAAGGGTCATACGACAGAGACGGGGAGAGTGTAAGAGATGGAAATAGAGAGAGGAGAATAAAGAGGGGGAAGATGAGAGATAGATGGAGAGGGAAAGGTAAAGATAGAGAAGGAGTGCGGAAAAGGGAGTTAGGAAGATTAGTGACGGGAAATGGAGAGGATAAAGAAAGAGAGAAAGAGTGAGAAAAGAAAAGAGAAGAAAGAAAGAAAGAAAGAAAGAAAAAGACAGAGGGAGAGAGAGAAAGATAGGGTGAGCGAAGGAAAGAGAGTTAGAAAAAGTGAGAGAAGGAGAAAGTGGGGCAAGTGGAAAGAGGTTGAGAGAGAAAGAAAGAGAGCGGCAAGAGAGTAGGATGAGACAAAGCGGTAAAAAGAGAGACTAAGAGAGAGAGAGAGAGAGAGACAGACAGACAGACAGAAAGAGACGGGAAGGATAGAGAGCATGCGAGAGATGAAAATAGAGAGAGAGGCGAACATAGAGGGAGGAAATGGAGGAGAGATAGATGGAAAGACAAAGGGAAAGATAGAGAACGTGTGCGGGGAAAGGGGGATAGGATGATTAGTGACGGCAAAACAAGAGAGATAGGGAGAAGAATAACAAGAGAGAAAGAGAGAGAGGGGGGGAGAAAAGGAAAGAGAAAGAAAGAAGAAAAGAGAGAGGGAGAGAGAAGGAGGGGGGCTGAGCGATTTGGAAAGAGAGAGAGAGAGAGAATATGAGAGAGAGGTAGGTTTTTTAAAAAAAATGTTGCCATAACAAAAAAGCATAAGCAAGAGAGAAAGGGTGTGATATTTTGAAAATGTCATGCGAAAACAAAATCCTGATCGATATTAAACAATTTTTAAAGCCACATGAAAAACTTTTATTTATTTGTTTATTTGACATTACAAGAATTCGTTTATTGCTTGACATATTTTTACTTTCCCAAAGATTAAGCATATTCAAAAGAAATGTCGTGATTTTCAGAAAACGGTATTTGTTAAAGACATCTTTGCTATTATTACAACTTTTCGGCCGTTTTGCTTTCCTTCTTCAGCTGCTTTTCTTTCTTTTTTTCTAAGCCTTTGTTCTTGTCTATATTGTCATGGTCAGTCAGTTATGTGCCATGCGTGATACACGCTTAGGCGATTATGTATCTTTTCCACACATGACTGACAAGACAGATTTTTCCTGCAGTAGGTTGTCATTTCTTTCTGCGGTAGACGAGTTGCCATCCAAGGCTATAGAACCCGATCTGTCCTGCTATTTACCCATATCTGGAGGGAGAAGAGGATTCATGCCTTTCCCAAGTGTATTAGCACGTAAATGAATGTAATCAATTCAACTGGAATTTGAGCTCTGATTTCCGATTCCTCAATCCAAGCCGCTATATGTTCTTCCGTTGTATTTATTAAATTCACCTGATAGGGTCTGTTTGTTTAGTTTTCAAGGTGAGTGTGGAGAATGTTCAACAACTTATTTGATAATTGTAAAAATATCAGTCAGTTTTGAGCCATACGTGATACACGGTTAGGCAATCATGTATCTTTCGATACATGACAAAGTTTTCTTCCCGCAGTAGGTTTGCCATTTTTTTCAGCGGTAGACGAGTTGCCATCCAGAGCTATAGAACCCGGTCTGTCCTGCTATTTATCCATAGCTTGGGAGGGAGAAGAAGAGGATTCATACCTTTCCCAAGGGTATTAGCACGTAAGTGAATTTTATGTATTCGACTGGAATTCGAACTCGGCTCTCCGATTCCTCAATCCGAAAATCTATCCCATTACTTTTTCTCACTGCCTCCTTTTATTATAAATTATAATAAATTGTTTTGTTTGTGTTAATAAATAAATCAGGGGAGAAGAAGAGGATTCATACCTTTCCCAAGGGTATTAGCACATAAGTGAATGTAATGGATTCGACTGGAATTCGAACTCGACTCTCCGAGTTTGGATTCTAATCGAATAATAATAATAATAATAATAATATCCTTTCTGACTCTTGGAAGGGCTTATGTCCACATCATTTTGAAACACCATATACATGTTATTTCAACTGACATTCTGTTTCTGATTTTCCTTCATAAAATAACCTTTTTTATGTTTCATTTAAAAGATGTGTTGTTAAATTTGCTAAGGTGGTTAGCAAACCCTGGTCAACACAGGTTCTCAGTTGATCCCCATGGCTGCTGCTGTTGCTGCTGCTGCTGCTCCTCTTCTTCTTCTTCTTCTTCTTCTTCTTCTTCTTCTTCTTATTATTATTATTATTATTATTATTTTTATTCAATCAGTCACTTATGTGCCATGTGTGATATACACTTAGGCGATCATGTATCTTTTCGATAAATGACTGACAGATCTTTCCCCGCAGTAGGTTGCCATATCTTTCTGCAGTAGACAAATGGAAGCATAAAGGGTACTTATAGTTAACACCAGAAAGAGAGTTGAAATTTCTAGGGTACATAATGAGGAAAGAGGGTTTGGGAAATCTGATACTCACAGAAGACAAGAAGGACAGAGGAAAACAACACATAACCTACATAATGAGGAAAGTAGGCTTGGAAAATCTGATACTCACAGGACAGATTGAAGGCAAGAGAAACAGAGGAAAACAACACATAACCTATATAATGAGGAAAGAGGGCTTGGAAAATCTGATACTCACAGGACAGTTTGATGGCAAGAGGGACAATAGAGAACAACACATAACCTGACGAGCTTGAGTTAATGGACGGCGGCGCAAAATTTATGAGATATAACAAAAATACAAAATTTATTAGTTACAAAAGACAGGAAATTGTGGAGAGCCATGATCGTGAACGTCTTGAAATTACATAGAACATAGAAAAAAAGCGTTTTCAACTTATCATTTCTTATAGAAAGAAAGAAAAGAGTAGTAAATTATTACGTGATATCTGTCCTTTTGTATGGGCCGTGAATGCTGAACAATCTCCTCCTAGATGAAGAAGAAACATGAAGCAACAGAACAGTGGCTCTACAGAAGGATACTAAGAAAACGCTGGACGGAACATGTGAGCAACCACAAAGAAAATTCTACAGAAAATGGAAACAAAAAAAGGACATTTATTCTTAACCTTAGGAAGCGGCGGTTGAGATTTCTATGGCACATAATGCGGAAAGAGGGCTTGGAAAATCTAATACTCACGGGAGGGTCAGAGGGAAACAACACCTAAAGTACCTAGCGAGCTTGAGTAAATGAAATGCAGTGCAAAGTTTAGGATAGATAAGAAAAAGAGAACATATATTAGGAGCTAGAAAGGGACGATGGAGTAATGTATATCGGCTGGGACTGATGAATCGGAGAGCCGAGTTCGAATGCCAGTCGGATCTATTGCATTCACATAGGAGATGAGGATTCATACTTTTCTAAAGGTATGAATCCTTTTCCCTTCCCAGCAATGGGTAAACTGTGTTTATAGCCTTGGGTGTAAACCGGTCTGGTCTTCTTCTAGATATGGGTAAACTGGGTTCTATAGCCTTGGATGTCAACCTGTCTGATCTTCTCTCAGCTATGTGTAAACTGGGTTCTATAGCCTTGGGTGACAACCGGTCTGATCTTCTCCACCCAGCTATGGGCAAACTGTGTTCTATAGCCTTGGGTGACAACCGGTCTGGTCTTCTCCCCTCAGCTATGGCTCTGGGAGAAGAAAAAGCTCTGAATTCAAAACCGGCCTGGAGAATCTTGGGCTCCGTCAAGCTATCTTGCCTCAGTACACATTGTGACCCTACGGGTCACAAGATAAAAAAAGAGTATATCAATTTTCTTTATAAATTGTAGTAATGAGCTATGTAAATTAATTGTAAATTTGATCCCCCACGGAAGCCAAAGCAAAATATGCTCATATCGTGTTTTCTTGAAATTTAGAAAAAAACAATTAGAAATGTTTTGTTCTGTTTTTTATTGTATGAGGTCTCTGAAAAAGTAACGGGACTGTTTGACGCAATCAATTTTATTCAATTTCAAACAACAAAATTTATATTTTATATCTTGTTACACATATTTTGTACATTATTTTCAATGGTTGTATTGATCTATGCGTAATTAAAATGGTTATTGTACGTATGAAAGAAAATTTACGCTAAGTGTATGGTCACCAATACCATTTTTTAAAAGTGTTTTAAAAACGGTCTGAAATGTTTCTAAAGTGTTTAGGATGAATATTTAAGGCCTATTGGGTTTTAACAATCAAAATAGATACTTATAAGCACCTTTTAGTTGGGGTTTCAAGTATTCGCGGATTCTAACTCTTCGCGGCTAGTTCTGGTCATTACTTCCCGCGTATACGGGGTCTACTATATATATATATATATATATAAATTAATGTGAATAGTTTGATAGATAGATAGTTTAATGTGAATAGATAGATATGTACAGGTTCGATAAATCGATAGATAGAACTAAACATGTACAGCATTCTGATATTCTGGATTGCATTAGTATAAAAATGTGCTTTAGGCTGTGTTATATTCGTACGAAGATAATGTCGTATCACTTTTCCTTCCTGTCTGGTTCTTTCTATATTTTCAGATTTGGAAATGCTATCACAGAACATTGACAACAGTCACCTGTGTTAAACATTCAACTGTTGTTAGCCACCGAGTAGGTCAATGGATTGAGGGTTGGATAAACATTTCCAAGTTCACACTGCCAAGAAGAAGACGAGTTTAGGTTCTTTGTTTAATTTATGTCTTTTTTAAAAAATCCGAGTCAATACTACAGGTTGCCCAGTGAAAAGGCATTTCATTTCGTTCAGTCGCCACTCGAAATCCCAACTCGAAATGGCTACATGAAGTCTCCACTTGAAATCTCCACACGAAATCTTCACTTGAAACTCCACTCGAAATCTCAACTCGAAATGTCCACTCAAAATCCCCAATCGAAATCGCCACACGAAATCCCCACTCGAATCTCCACTCGAAATTTCAACTTGAAATGTCCACTCAAAATCCCCACTCGAAATATCCACACGAAATTTCCACTCAAATTTCCACTCGAAATCCCAGCTCGTAATGTCCACTCAAAATCCTGACTCGAAATCTCCACACGAAATCTCCACTCGAATCTTCACTCGAAATCCCAACTCGAAATCTCCACTCAAAATCCCCACTCGAAATCGCCACACGTAATCCCCACTCGAATCTCCACTCGAAATTCCAACTAGAAATATCCACTCAAATCCCTACTCGAAATTTCCACTCGTAATTTCCACTCAATTTCCACTCGAAATCCCAGCTCGTAATGTCCACTCAAAATCCTGACTCGAAATCTCCACACGAAATTTCCACTCGAATCCTCACTCGAAATCCCAAATCGAAATGTCCACTCAAAATCCCCACTCGAAATCGCCACACGAAATACTTACTCGAATCTTCACTCGAAATCCCAACTCGAAATGCACACTCAAAATACCCATTCGAAATCTTCACTGGAAATTTTCACTCGAAATCTGCAGATGAAATTCCCACTCGAATCTCCACTCGAAATTCCAACTCGAAATATCCACTCAAAATCCCCACTCGAAATCTCCACACGAAATCTCCACTCGAATCTCCATTCGAAATCCCAACTTCCCCACGCGAAATCTCCATTTCTCTCTCCTACAACTTCTTATTGGCAAAGTTGAACTTAAGACGGATTTCAAACAGTTATTATTTATTCATTCAAAATATTATTTTAATAAACAAACTTGACGACTACAGTATCCACGCGAAGACATAAAGACTCAAGGCTTTTTTTATTTCATTCAATTGTGTCCTAATTACTCATTGTTATTAATGTTTACTTTTGTTTTCGTTTTCTTACCTCATTGGAATATAGAAATGAAGAAAATTGTCGGAGAATCTATTGCGTAGCATTATCCTAAAAAGAGTCGTTTGATGATGGCGTGAAAAAAAAAAGCATTACTTTGAAAGAAATATCAATGATTAGTTGAGTAGATTGAAAAGAAATGTTACGGTTGATAAACAAGTTTGTAATGACGGAGATGAATCTTTTTGATAAATGAGGAGTGGGGAACAGTTTGTAAAGTGAAAGAAAAGACGTTATCAAACGGGTATAAAATGCTGGCGAAAGGACTATA